AGGCGGCCCAGGCAAGGGCAGCCACCGGGTGGTTCTTCTAGACGCAGAGAAAGCACTCCATACGACGGCGTTCCCCGTTCCGATAGGATCCTTGGGGTCTCGGCCAGTTACACGCCATAGAAAAGTGACCCAGCTCGTTGCACCTGTTGCATCGCCCTTGTCCTCACGGATTGGGTTCACGACCGCACCCAACCCGTCCTCAGCGACCACATACGACTTTTCCTTTCGTCGTACGGGTGTCAGGGCCGATTCTGATCCTCAGCGGGCCTAAGTTCGACGGGGCGTTCCCTGGTGTCGAAGCGTTAGGAGTCGACGAGGCGTTCCCAACCGAAGTCGGAACGCCTTGAACAGGATGAACCGGAGGCACCACCGCACTGATGTATTCTTGCTGCACCCCAGCGCCCTGTAGCTGTTTCTGTATGGACGGGTTCATTAGCTGTAGCTGCTGTAACATCTGCGACTGCGTCAAGTTCGTGTTGTTTGAGCGGGTCACAGGCGTTCTATCGTCCGCAAACTCGTCCTCTTCCTCGACCGGCATATGCAGATTATTGTAGATCAGCAGGTCACAGGCCTCCCTGATCGTCGCGACCATATTTCCATTCAGCACCGCCTTCATCTGCTTGTTCCGCAGACAGTCCATGAAGAACTCGTACCTCATGCGAGGCTCATGGTAGCTCAGATCCTCACACATAGTCGATATACGATCATCCCACTCCTAGTCCGACTCACCGCGACTTCGCTTGGCGTTATTGAGGCGGTTCCAGAGCTGAGCAGGCGTTTGGCAGATGAATCGGTTGTGGAACTTCACTCGAAGGGTCTCGAAACCGTCGATCCTCGAGTTATACCACCACTCCTGACTCACCTTACCCCTAAGGCACTGCTCGAGCGCCGTCAATCGCATCAGGCTGTCCATCCCATAGGAGCACCTCTCAAAGGAACGCCAGAAAGCTGCCGCTCTCTCGTTCGTAGCCGTCTCCGAGTAGTATGGAGCGATTACCTTTACGGCGTTCCTCAACTCATTCGCGAGTATCAGCGTAAGGGAACGGCTCGACGAGGGTAATATGCGCGTTCAGGAACGCTCTCGCGTCGATACTCAGCACCTCGAGACCTTGGTTCCTCATATACGACGGTGATGCTCCTCCTGCCGCTAGAGGCATCCCTAGCGTAGGCAGATTCGGGTACTCATGAGTCGGTGTTACGGGAGCCGCGGGTCAAGCGGGTAGCGTTCCACTCTGACCCCACCCGGCAGTAGACTGGGTCATCGACTGGTACTGAGAATTGAGCGCTTCCGTCCTGGGCGTTCCACCTACCATCCCGTTCCCATAAGGCCGCGATACGCGGGAACTGGTCCTAAGGGCATTCCCACTGACATTGAATTCTTCGCTGGTGTCGGGGCTTTAGGGATCGGAGGTCTCGGGTACTCAATTCGATGAGCGCTCGAAGGCCGTTCCAACTCCGTACGTTCCCGTCGGGCCGACCCAGGCGTGTATCATGCTTCTGGTCCCGCCGCTCGCGAGCGTGGCGTTCCCGCGCTCGCATCGCGAGACACCCGTTTTTGCTGAGTACTCGCTCGACCGACTCTTCCACCAGTGCTTGCAGCCTCGAGTCGCTGGGAGTCGCTCCAGACCGGGCGGACGCTGCTCGACTCAGATTTGGCAGGCGTCGACGCAGACTTCGCAGGAGTGGTCACGGATCTCTCCGAGGCCGTCATCAATCGGGCAGGGCGTGGAACATCGACCTCACAGGCGTAAGGCACCCGGTCCGAGCTGGGTGTAGTCACTTGGCCCTTTAGGTCGTCTTGAAAGGTTCGTAGCCGCTCCCGAGGTCGTCCTTTCCCCTGTGAGCCTTTGCTTCCGTGGTCATGTTCATCGGGATGGCTGTCTCCCTAGCATCCCTGAGCGGTGTCAGCGAGGGGCGCGACGGGTCGAGCGAGAGCGCCACTTCTCGGGGTGTTCCCGACATGAGCGCTCTCAGCTTCTCACTCTGTCCTGGCCGCCGAGCTAATGGCTCCAAGATGCCATCCAACCGCTCTTGTTCCTCAGGCGTCTCAGGTTCTGACAGGACCTCTTTCATTACCCCCAGTAGCTTGGCTACGTAGCTAGACGCTTCCCTATCAGCGTCGCTCCGACCTTCCGAATCGGCTGACCGAGGCGTTCCAGTTTCCGCGGGAACGCCTCCACTTCCTCTGACGCGGGCCTCCTCCTGTTCGCCACTGGCGGCGGTACTAGGCGCGCTTGTCTTCCTTGTTGGTCTCGGCTTGGAATTGTGACTCGGGCAGAAGTGGAGACGACCATACCGCACCTTCTTCCCTAGTTGCACTGCCGTGTCCCTCACCAGACCAACCGTGGGCGTTCATAGCGTTCACACTTCCTTTTTCCTCCCTCTTTGGCGTTCCGTTACCAAAAAGGCGGCTCACACCGCGTTTACGTTCCTAGGATTGTTCGGCGTGAAGATACCCGGTTTCACCACCAAATTGTTGTGGTAACCCACCTTAGGTCGAGGTAGTGTATCTAGCAAGCCGACGTAGGAACTTAGGTTTATCACGCAAACGTAAATCTGTTGTTGTATTCTTGAGTACTTCGCTGGTAAGAAGGAAAATCACGACTGAGCTTCTACCTAAAGCTCCAAGCTGAGCACTAGGCTCCTTACCTTTTGTAAACCACTACCACGTGGAGGTCCAATGCAAATTCCCACCCTTGTCGACAGCCAGGCGTTCCGCCCTAGGCTTGGAACACCGCTGATTGGGCCGGGGGGGGGCACAGTTGATTGGACGTGGCCTGCGACTTCTGCAGCAGGCAGATCTTCCGAACGCAGTCCGAGAGAATGGCGAGTCCTCCTTCTAGCTGTGTACCGTGGCAGTAGTACCGACACCGGTTCCTGAACGAAGCTTCAGTGTTAGCTCTTTTGTATATTTTTAACAGTGTAGTACCGATATGTTAGATTTTTCTGGCCAGTTTAAGCGTTTGGAGGTGATCCGAGTCACCATAAAAACGAAATTGTCGATGATATATTTTTGGACATTCTATCTTTGGGTCGCTGTATAACCAAACGTATGCACCAGCATCGTCTTAAAAAAACTACATAAATGCTAACTTTTTTATGATCTGTGCGTCAATCTTTCTATGAAAAAGCACACATAAAAATGAAATAGAATGCCAATTATCGTCATCTGTGCGTCAACATGCTTGAATAACATGCCATTTTTCGTTCGATATTTTCATCGTTTTTCGACGACATCCCGGGCTAGCAGCATTCGTGATCAATTCATAACGCCGTGGCCGACCTGCTAGTCCATGGCTGCGCATTTCCTGTCCACGGGAATAATTTCTCAGCTTAAGCGCTTTGGTAAAAACAATTTGCAAAACTATTTTCAGCGCACTGGATCTAGTGTTTGTGCTATTTGTTATATTATAAGTCGGCCGACAGAAAATCACAACCGCTGAGGTGCTAGCCAATAGTTTTCGTAAGCAACAGCTTCTGCGGTTGCTCGTTAGCTCTGCTAGTCTTGCACTATGAATTTGGGGGTGTATTTCTCCTGGTGTTGATTGGTGAATGTAAGCTGCATGTATTCTTCACTAAGCTTAACATTATATGCTCTTTTTATCGTATGAGCACCGCGCGAGTAATTTTCCTTCTTAAGGAGCCGCTGAACTGTTCGAATGGCGGTATTGATGCTGTCTGTATTTGATATATCCACCGATAGATATCTCTCTTCTGCTAGCAAATGCATACGTTCTTCGCTGTTGTTCGTGTCCTCGTCTCAGATCGACTCCGTATAAATCCACGCACTTCTTCCTGCATTGCTAGCGAGTTTGGCAGTCGTGAGATGCGGTCTCCTCGGTTAGCCGGTTGTGCAGCCGTGAATACAGTCCCATGCGACAGAAATAAGGACCCAATTTCACCACACGTCTTGTTGGAGCGACCAAGTAAACGAGCAATTTAGTTGGTAATAGTCTCTTTCCGAGGTATAATTGCATTATCCACACGTAAATTAGCCTGTAGCACGAGAATATCCAATATTTCTTCTTTAGTGAAAGCCTTGTTACGATGCGCTCTCACAAACGCGATGGCTCGACCGGCATCCTCCGCTTCTCGACGAGTCTTCTTTCCTTTTCGCGGGGACGCCATGTGCACTCGACAGCCAGACTTGAAATGTTGGGTTTCGAGTTAAATGCTATTTTGACTACCCCGATTTGCAATTGGCAAGTCTGACCCCCTCTTCAAGATGATATATTAATCGCAGTCGTGTTTGTTACAATATAGACATCTACAGTCCAAATACATTGATACTATTGGGAGGATGACCAGTAAGGTTGTGATAAAATATGTTAAAACATGTTACGGCGCAGGTTCTGAAAATTGCAGGACGCGATTGGGCACATATATAGCCAGACAATAGCTCCGGCTCTCCTAGATATTGGACTTGAAACGAATAAAAAATGATGACGCAACGTCAAAAAGCGTCCTCGATGCTGTCGACCACTGTTAATACTGGGAATGCATTTAGGTATGGACAGGACTAATTTCACGGTACTGCGTAACTCGCTTATTGTCATCTCGCTCAGGATACATTCTGTTGTAAGCCGATTGTTGACCCAATGTTGAACAGTCAGGGCTGAAAGGTATCTTTACGATACATTCGCATAACAACAGCTCTGCCGCATCCCAGATATGGCGACGAACCAACTATGAAGCCGATCGGAAAAGACTAGGCTGGGAGTTAGCCAACACGCAGTTTGGCCAAGCCTGGAGAAAATCAGCATATGAAATGTGAAGTTCTATTTTGTTTAAAAACGTTTTTGTAACGAGTCTCGGGACGCCTGCTCGCCGGCGGGTCGCACCGCTGACTGTCACCGTCTGTCGGTGAGCTGCCAGGATTCCGAGGCTCGAATGCAATCAACACTGTGCTATGACAATGTTGATTGTGAAGGGCTCCTCACCGACAATCCATATTAAATATATATATTTTCCGGTCCCTGACATGCACATCAATCGGCTTTATGCGCGCGATCCGCAATACTTGGATTCGCCCGAAGCTTCGTCACCAGTTTAGATTTGAAGTAAACATCGTTTGGTACCGGTAAGGCTGGAAGACGGAAACGTTTTATCAGTACCAGTAGGATCGAAATATAGTACTATTATGGAACTAATTAATACCGAATTAATACTAAACTTATATAGAAGCTAGTAGTTTGCCGAGCAAAGACAACAACTACTAGTAGTAACTACTATTACATTAGCTCCTGAGCGGCTAGTAATAGCACCGCTTTATGAGCTTGTATGACAAGCACCAGTCGTTTCGCCTAGCCTAATGAGTGATCATTCTATCTTTTATTTGGAATCCAAGACGTCGTATGAACAGCCGACCCCTGTAGGCCAGCATTTTGAGATTGTCAACAACTAGATCGTCTTCGACTTAGATGGGAATACCAGTGTTTTTTCACGTAGCATTTCCAACTGTTTTATTAGTGTTCCAAGCCGCGGCGAGTGGAACTTTGTTCTGCCGTGACCTTGTGGCGGTAAATAGATGCGAAAAAAAACATCTCTGAAACGCCATTAAGTAGAGTTTAAATGAATTCCGTTACATACTAATTAAAATTTAGTACGAGGACCAAGCGGGTCTCTGCTGTTGAAGTCGAGCAGCTCAACCCGGCACGGAACACGGGCAGCCCGTTCGCCGGGGAGGCGGAGATAACGCCAGTTCATGAGACCAGCGGTGAATGTGAGCAGCAGAAGCTCGCGTGACACGAAGAGCCACTGTACGGTACAGTCTGCACCCACAGCTGCAGCGGGGTACGACACCGGCCGTTCCTGTCGAAGTGCAAGAAGTGTGTGGTCGTGGAGCTCCAGCAGAGCAAGAAATGCAGGATTGGGGTGGTCGTGTACCCCCGAGACGACGAAGTGTAGCACTGTGAGGAGGTCCAGTAGAGTAGCTACTCACGTCGGAATCGGTCGATAGCTCGGGATGTGATGTGGATACGTAGCGGCGAGCGGCGGCTCGAGCTCAGTTACGAATTGAATTCGTGAGGCGCAAGTGGCTCGAGTGCGAGCAAAATGGTGCGTCGATCACGGAGCGCGTGTTTGTGGCCCAGGACTTGCAGGCCGTTGCGAGTCAAAGCCGGAGAAGCGCGAGAATGAGTCGAGTGTCGGGCGAGCAGAGCTACCTGGCATTCGTTGAGCAGAGCCGTAAGTCACAGAGCGAGTGAGCTGTTGGGTAGAGAACGACGGGGTGGAGCCGTTCGTGGTGGTGGTTGTGGTTCGAGGAAGCGGGCGACTCGGAAGGGGTAGCCCTTTGACGAGTCTGATTGTTGTTGCACGTGGGCTTGCCGGCGGTGACCAGAGCGACGGACACAGGTTCGATGTGTGCGTGACTGCCCCGGTGACCCTTAAGCGTGTCTGCGCGGTGATCCGCGGTCCTGTGTGAGGCAGGGCTGAGAAGTAAGATGCAGTTGAGGTTGAGTTGAATACAAATAGGGGCGGACGCATCCCGGCGGCTTGGGAGCAGTCAATTACAATATCCTTTGTCAAAGTTTTGCAATATCGAATTTAAATTGAACATCTATACTGAGCTGGTATGTCGTGGTATTTAGAGCTGATTGGATAAATAGGTTCGTACATGTGATGCTGGTAAAAACGTACCTTAATGTGTTCTAAAACGTCCTAATTGCTCTGATTATTACTTAGTTTTTTTCTATTATTACTAATTGTTCCGACAGTTCATTGTCTCAACTTGCCTTCGCCGGAGTGAACGAAAGGATATGAAGCCCGCTTGCATTATCAACTAACGAAGGATAGTAATGACCAGCCGCGGATCGCTTGGCTCAGATAACCTTGCGTTTTTGCAGCTCCGACATTGTCGGGTTGGTCACGCCGCTTCAAGGATCAAGCGACGCTCTTGATTGTTTCGTTCTTCAGAACCAACATGAAGTTTGGTTCCTCGATCGACTTGTCTTGATTCTCAGTTACTTCCGCAGTTTTTCCGCGCAATAAACTTGGTCTGCACACCAGCTTCATAAGTGACTCCCATCATGAGCATTTTCTCCTCGACAGACTCTCTTCCTCTGGTATCGCTGCTCCCAGTAGTAGTACCGTCGCGCTTCGACGACTTCCTCTCGTTTTCGCCTGCTGAACCCTTGTCATTCGACGCGTCTTCCTGTTGCTCGCAAGCAACTCGTGGAGCCTCTCTCTGCTCTGGGTCTTACACGGGGTCGACTGCAAACTTCACATCCATTTCCAGCGCGGCACGTCGACAGGAATCAGGTCGTTTTGCCGATAGGCCTTTCGCCCCGACAGATCTCCGAAGCCCGGGGGCAATCACCGGCCCGCCTTCTATGATCAGCTCTCAGATTTCGCCCGCTCGTTCTCAGCGCAAAGTCTTCAATCTTGTTCCTTCGACTCGTCGACCTCTCCAGTCGATCTGTGGTTGCATGTCCTCGAAAAATGGTATCCCAAGGATGAAGTCAAACTATTCAGGTATCGCATAGACAACTACGACACATTAATACGCATCATCTAATCCAGCAATCTTGCTACATAGAGACAACACCTCCAGTTGGGCCTCCACAATCTGGTTGTCACCAAGCTTGCCTCGAATGCTCTTCTCGATGAGCTTCGTCGTCTTCAGCTGGTTTACTTCTACCCACCGCTTCAACACGTAGATCATGATTGCATCACAGTCTAGAAGTACCTTCGATGTCTTCTTCATCTTGGCAGTCACACTAGTATCGCCAGCGATGTCATATAGTGGACGTGACTTAGAGACTAGAGGGTTTTCACTCAGAACGTTAAGGTTGACATTATCAAACTTAACTGTTCCGGTCACATTCTCCTCCACAACAGGACCCTCTTTCACTGCCGTGGCTTCTCGTTTCCCTGCTTCCCTTCCTTCTTCTTCCACGAAAGGCAGACAGCCTTAATGTGACCATGTTTATTGCAGAAGTGACAGGTAGGAGTATTTTTGCTCTTAGAATTTGAGCTCGGTTTGAAACGTCCCTTTCTTTGGAAAGGTTCCCCCTTGGATGCCTTCTTGTTTTCTTGGCCTTGTTCGTTGGAGGCATTCGGCTTCTCACGACGAACCTTGCGTTCACTAACGTCCTCCACGAAGTGAGTCACCTCAAACTTAATAGACAAGCCCATGGCGTCACTCAGCGTCTCAGGATTTTTTATCTTCACGTAGCTCCGATTACGAGTCTTGAGGCCATTTGTGTAGAACAGAGCTTGGTGAAACACGCTCATGCCTTCGACTCGGAAGATGAGGGCAGAGTATCCACCGTTATAGGTCTCGATATCCGCCGTTTGCTTCAGACGCTGGAGGCTCTCTCTACGCTGACTGGTAGTTAGACACCTCGAAGTGTCGGAGCACATGACCCCCACGTGTGCTCCTCCACTCGCGTAGTTGAAGCTCAGTGCAGGAGACACCCTGAATCTGGTTTTTCCATCGCTGACCCAGCGATCCCTGGTAGTCGCGGGTTTGCGTCTTCGATCGCGATCCTGTTAATGCGGCAGGCGCTCTCGATCTGGAACAGTCATTAGTGCACGTCTTCCCCTCTCTTGCCGGTGAGCTCAGGCAGGTTACCAGACATTCTCGTGTGTTCCGCCATCGCACGGTTCAGCCGGTCGATCTCAGCGATCAGCTGGGTGCTCGTAGGCATGGGCTCCTTGATGTCAGGTTGCTAAGACCAACAAGTGCTACCCGATGATTAAAACATAGGAGCTTGGGGGAGGGCACGTAAAAGTGCCGCCCCCACAGCTCAGACGGATGAAAGCTTCTAGAAGCTTCCACAGCCGCCTACATCCGCTTATGTATTAATTACTATGCTATATATCATAGTGCCACTAGCCGCTCATTTCAATAAGTCAATAATATCGACCAATCAGATACAGTACACGAATTGCCAGAAAAAGGTAATTTTCGAGTTGATCTGTGCAAACTTTACAAGAATATTAGACCCTATTCGCTGCTCGGTGTACTCAAGTGCGTGTTTTCTTTAATATCTTCTATATAATGCTTACAAGGATATTAGTTCCCATGCTTTCCTTATTGACGCATTACTGTATACTAAGGAAAAATTAATGCACCGACATTTAGGATTACGCCCTATTGCACTTTACATCGCAGTTAGCTTCTCGAGTGCAATTAAGTACTGCAATCCGCAAGGACCATGCATTTGGGTACTGCAATTTAAAATAGTAATACCTCACTTCAGCGTGCATGTACTAGATGTTTTTATAATGTCTTTCCGCTACAACACGGCTAAATGCAGCAGGTGTAGCGTTGGCAGAGTAATTGTGGCATAGCATATCTGTGGCGTCTACTCCGGACCACGCTCTCTACTTCATTCTCCAATCCGCTCGGAGGGCAAAACAGTCCTTACCCTCGCCATCCTCGCACAAGATCCTTTTTGCCACTACTACAGATAGCCCCGTCAAAGCACAAATTGCGCCGTGATGAAGGACGGCGAATGCAGTGTAGTCAAGGCTATCAGATAGCCACGTGTTGATCAACGAGGAAAGCAGGCATTAATGTCGATTATTAGGGGTTATCACGGCTGGAAAGTATGTTTGACCGGCCAATCAAATCAAATCTTCGCGTCCCTTTTTTTTCAACTCAAACCTTCCTTGAATAAGAGAAGGTTGCAAACCACCAGTGAAGATTAGCTGTGATTGGTGGAAAACCATACCAGAAGAATTGATTTGGTTGGTAATGAATACTGCCAATAGTTACACCTATCAATCTCGTCCTTTGCTCATTCTCCAATATGGTTAACAAGAGATGGAGTGCTGAAGAGGAGTACACCCTCTTAGATTTCTTGTCTTCGCATTTAGAGATGTACACGAAGGGGGTCAAGGTCAAGTTCTACAAGAGCGCCCCTCGCCACCCTTTCGCAAAAAACTGCAACGCAGGTGAAGTCGAAGTGCATTGAGCTCGAAAGCTCATACAAGACGTATAAGTCGAAGTTAAGCCGCTCCGGTTTTGGTGTGAAGGCCACCGACCTATCGAGCATCAAAGGTAGGAACATTAACCTCGTTTGTGAGTGGTTTTGGTAATAATTTGACACTGTGAATGGAAACATAGATGCTGCTTAAAAAATGCAAATATGTTTACGAAATGGACGAAATATTTGGTGTGTGGCACAATGTCGTTCCTTGAACCATAAAGGAATGGGCTCGTACTTTAGCGGTGCGGTCCCGGTGAGGAGGAAGTACCATGTACAGCGACTCCGGCTGAGCCAGCGGAAGCCACCACCGCGGCGAAAGCATCGACAGCCACTGCAACGACGGGATTGTCGCCTGCGAAGAGTGCTGGGATCGACAGTGCTACACCAATGACCGCTACTGCATACTTTGGGTCCGCAACCACGGGCCCTACCTTGACCAGCAACAAGCGGGTCTACGACGAATAGAAGGGCTCTCCGGTGGCAAAGCTAATATCAGCTATTCGCGGTGAACGCGAGGCGGCAAGGGCAGAGCGGCACAAGGATAAAATGCTGATGCGTAAAGAAGAATTACTTCTTAAGCCACAGCAGTTCCAAGTCTACAAGATCGAATTGCAGCAGAAAGAGCGCAAAAATGGAGCAAATGTTTGCTCTAATGAAACAAAAAATGGAATCGCAGACAAAAAAAAATGGAAATGGAGCTTATCAAGCTTCATGGTAGCGATAAAACCGATTAAAAAAATCGTTTTCAAACCACTAAACAAATAAATAATACTAAATTATGAAACGTGTTCTGTAGAATTATTTATTTATTAAAAACCGCGACGGCGTAGCACCACTTCTTGCATACGTGTACGTAGATCTTCGCTGTCTTCGGTGCTCCAGTCTACCACTTCTACCACTTCAACATCTTCGTCTGCTTGCAAATCATCATCTGTGGTAGGAGCTATAGACACATCGAAGGTATCGTCGCAGTCGATGCATACGTTGTGGATAATAAACCAGGAAACGATCCTCTTGCTCACGCTTTCAACGTCGCTGTCGTTTTGAACTCGCTCTCTAATTGCGTCAAGTATCGAGAATCGGGCCTTCAGTATGCTCAATAACAATTCGCTGTTGTGCGAGGAGCCAGTTGAAAGTCTTGTTGCGTGGCTTCGAGCTTGCCGGCAGCTTATAGGGCGTTAGAATGAACGGAAAGCAGCACGAATATGCCGAATCACCTATGACGTATTGGCCGGGATCGAAAAAGTTGCCTGGATTGTCTGACATAACGGTCAAACTCATTGCGCGCTTGTCGTGCAACGATCCAGGCTGTCCGACCTACACAGTCATTTGCAATTTTGATATTAAATGTTAGAAATTAAAATTAACGAGTACAACTGCTAGCTACCTGATATTATATAATACGTCGTTGAGGGTCGCAAATAATTTGAGAACCGATACCCTACTCTGACTTCCGCGAAAAATAAGATTCGGGGTTCACCGCAGG